CCCTTCGTAACCAATACCCCCAGCTATCTCCGAGACACTACTGACTTCCTAAGGAAACTACAAAACATCGATAACCTCCCCAATAATACCATCCTTGCCACCATGGATGTAGAAGCTCTATATACCAACATCCCACATGAAGACGGATTACAAGCAATTAGAAACACTATCCCAGAGGACACTACTGCCAACCTGATAGCAGACCTATGTAACTTTGTTCTCACCCACAATTATTTCCGGTTTGAGAACAACTTATACCTCCAGATCAGCGGCACAGCCATGGGTACACGCATGGCCCCACAGTATGCTAACATCTTTATGGCTGACCTAGAACAACGTTTCCTCAACTCCCGTCCCCTTTCACCCCTCCTCTACCTACGGTACATCGATGACATCTTTATGATCTGGACACATGGCCAAGAAACACTGGAGATATTCCACAGAGATTTCAACAACCTACACCCCACCATCAACCTCAGCCTGGACCATTCTACACGAGAGATCCACTTCCTGGACACCACCGTACAAATCAACAATGGAAAATTAGACACCACTCTCTACAGAAAACCCACTGACTCATACAGTTACCTACATGCATCCAGCTCCCATCCAGAACACACCACACGATCCATCGTCTATAGCCAAGCCCTTCGATACAACCGCATCTGCTCTAACCCCACTGACAGAGACCAGAAGCTTCAGGATCTCTACCAAGCATTTATAAATCTCAACTACCCACCCAGAGAAACAAAAAAGCAAATTGAAAGAGCCAGACGAATACCTAGAAACCATCTACTTCAAGACAGACCCAAGAAAACCAACAATAGAACACCACTTGTCATCACCTACAACCCCCAACTTAAACCTGTCCAACACATTATCAATAAACTACAGCCTATATTGGAACAGGATACCATACTCAAAGAGGCTCTGGGAGACAGACCCATAGTCTCCTATAGACAACCACCTAACCTCAAGATGATTCTTACCAACCACCACAGGACATACCACACTAATACCAACCCTGGTACCTTCCCTTGCAACAAACCCCGTTGCCAGCTTTGTCCACATATTCATTCTGCTGATACCATTATTGGACCTAACCAAGTGAGTTATAAGATCAAGAACACATATTCCTGCGCATCCAGAAATATAATCTACGCTATCATGTGCCGAAAGTGTCCGTCTGCTATGTACATTGGACAAACATCTCAGACACTTCGCCAAAGGATTAATGCCCACAAAACAGATATCAGACAAGATCACAAAGAGAAAACAGTTTCTTGCCACTTTAACCAGAAAGGACACTCTCTAAATGACTTAGCCACCTGCATTCTGCTACAAAGACCTTTTACATCTGCACTTGAAAGGGAATCCTCTGAACTGTCATTCATGTTAAAATTCGACACTTACCAACAAGGACTTAACAAGTCTTTGAACTTTCTCACCCATTACCAAGACAGTTTCCCCAATTATCACCTGTAATACCATTAACTCACAAACATCCCACTCTCCCTACCTCTAATATCATCAATTCACAGACACTTACCTTCCCCTCCTGTTCTGCAATGTGATTTGTCCTTTTCATATTTGTTCATTTTTTTAATTGTACCCTTTGGTATATATGGTTGTGACTACTTTCTTCCACTATTTGATCTGAGGAAGTGGGTCTGGCCCACGAAAGCTCATCATCTAATAAACCATCTTGTTAGTCTTTAAAGTGCTACATTGTCCTGCATTTTGCTTCAGCTACCCCAGACTAACACGGCTACATCTCTATCACTGTCCCAGAGAGAATGTGGGGCAGGGAAGGGGACTTGTGTGAGCAGCATGGGGAAGAGCAGACAGGTGCAGGGATTTTAGAGTGGATAGTCAGGGCCTACTTCATTAGGGAACTCGCCATCCAGCTGGGATCCAGCCAGGATATCCCCTCTCCCTGTAGGTGGCAGCAGAGTCAATTAATCCTTTTGAAACTGTAAAAGATACTCAAGGGCTGTGTCTACATTGGCATGATTTACATGCTGCCTGTCTACACTGGCGGGGAGTTCTTGCGCAAGAACACTGACGGTCTAATGTATGAAATCAGGGCTTCTTGCGCAAGAACTATGATGCTCCCGCTCAGGAAAAAGCCTCCTGCGCAACTGTTCTTGCGCAAGAGGCCAGTGTAGACAGGCAACGTGAATTTCTTGCACAAGAAAGCCTGATGGCTAAAATGGTCATCGGAGCTTTCTTGCACAAGAAAGCGTCTACACTGGCATGGATGCTTTTGCGCAAAAGCACGTATCTTGCACAAAAGCACATGCCAGTGTAGACGCTCTCTTGCGCAAATACTTCAACGCAAAAATTCTTGCATTAAAAGTATTTGCGCAAAATCTTGCCAATGTAGACGTAGACAAGGACTATGGCTATTTCATTTAACAAATGAAGTATGTGTTTCTGTGCGGGTTCAATGTAGTGACCAGATGTCCCATTTTTAAAGAGAGTCTCCCATATCTAAGCCCTCCTACAGGTATCCCAACTTTATTTATTTTCTGTCTCTTCCCCTCCCATCAGTACTGGTGGGTCCTACTGCTGGACGGATCCTTGCTCGCCAGCTGCCCACCCACGAGTGGTGAGTGAGCGTGTAGGAGGTCCAATAGCTAATGATGGAGGTGGGAGCTCAAGGCTGGTGATTGGGCAAAGCTGCAGTGTGCAGGGCTGGCCGCTGCCCATGCTGGTTGGTCCGTGCAGTCCTTGCTGTGGGCCAGATCCTGGCCAGCAGGATCCCCCTCCCCCCATTTCCCACCAGCACTGGCTGTTTGCAGTGGTGGCTGGTGAGAGCAGGCAGGCAGTGGCTGGTTATGTCTCACCTCTGCCGCGCACCCATTTACCCTTTACATGCTTCCCTCTCACTGCCCCCTCCCTGCTGTGCCCATTCACCCTCCCAGCTCCACTGCACCACCATATCCCCTCCCTCCCCAGGGGGTGTGTCCCACTCCCAGTGCTGTGCGAAGAACCAGCCGTTGGTCAGATCATTCAGCTCACTAGCATCCATGCTGGCAGGCTCCTTCCTTCCCCCACTGACTCTGGGTGGGCTGGCGCCTAGGGAAAGCTCAAGACCCTATGGCCCAAGGTGCTGATCAGGAGGAGCCAAGCCCTGCATGTGCCAAAGCCCTGCCCAGGGGTGGCCTGGGGAAGCTTCTCCGTCCCTCAGCTAAGCTGTGCAGTGGCAAGGAGAGAGCTTTTTCCAGCCTGTTTGTACTCTAACCTTGCAGACTCTTCAGAAGCCCCCCAGGCAAGAGCATAGCATCCTCTTCACACACTGCCCGTCCTAGGGGCCTGCCCCAAGGGCGTACAGGGCTGCTCTGTCCCCTAGTCACCCTCTACTACTAAGCCACCTCTCTGGTTGAGTTCACTGATATTCTAGTAGACAGATTCTCTTAGCCGTAGTGCTTAATGTATCCTTAGGACTTAACTCCTTTCTGCCTGCATTGTAGCCAATGCAGGTGGCTGGGTTACATCAGTGGTCAGCAGCAGCTTAGAGGTTTGATTGTAGAGGTTTTAGCTGCCTTTCAATACTGTGCAGGCAGGAAGAGAGAGGCTGCTTCCAGCCCCAGAGAGGTGGAGGTGGGAGAACAAGGGAAGAGAGAACTTCTCAAATACCTGTCAGGTCATCCCTACCCTGCACCCTTCTCTCACCTCCTGTGGCTTGAAGCAGCTCACATCCCTTCTCTCCCACACAGTGCTGAAAGGCTGCTGCTGGCCATGCTGTAGTGTAAACCCTGACAGAAATCTGACCCTGCATGCCCCTCGCACATTGCCTTGAGAAGATGCAGTGCCAGGTACCAAGAGAAATGGGTTCATCCTGGGGGTCCGGTCAGATATAGAGGGTGGAGGGCACTGGGCAGGGTTGGGTTAGTCTGCTCAGTTACACCTCTCTCCCATGGGGATGGGGGTACGGGAGTATATGTGTGTGTGAGACTTCTCCCCATGCAAACATTAAAGATAAGGAGGCAAATAAAAAGACTCCAGCTACACAATATTTTTTTAATAAGGGCTCAGTCAACTTGATATTAATTTGAACATTTGTACTGCACAGTTCTGATTGATTGCCATTGAACGCGCTTGAATATGAGTAATTTTACCAGGTGTCTTGTATTCAGCATAGGGAAATATGGTCAGCCTATGGGCAGCGACCCTGGGTGGCTGATGCTATTGAGCAGCCAGAGCCCGAGGGAAGTCTAGGAATATCGGGGCTTCCCTGCTGCATATAGGGGCAGCATGGTATCAGGAGCCTGGGGCGTGGGTTCAGGAGGAAGCACCTTTGGACACAAGGATAAGGAGGGGAACGCCAGATGGGCTGGCAAAGGGGCTGAATGGACCTCTCACAAATCTGAGCCCTCTCTACTACCCAAGAGGAGTGGAGAGCTGCAAGGGATTCATACTAGTGGCCTGCAGATCCCTGTAAGGTGAGAGATCAACATCCCAGGCAGGCTCGGGACCCTCCCAGGCTGGAAAAGGCACAGGTGTGTGACAAATTTCTAGAGACAAGGTTGAGCTGCAGGGCCCAGGGGCTGGCAAGGGTGGGGTGTTCCATCCCATGCAGGGCCGAGGAGTTGCAGGGGTGGGGTGTCCCACCCCATGCAGGACCCAGGGGCTGGCAGGGGTGGGGTGTTCCATCCTACGCAGGGCCCAGGGGCTGGCAGGGGTGGGGTGTTCCATCCTACGCAGGGCCCAGGGGCTGGCAGGGGTGGGGTGTTCCATCCTACGCAGGGCCCAGGGGCTGGCAGGGGTGGGGTGTTCCATCCTACGCAGGGCCCAGGGGCTGGCAGGGGTGGGGTGTTCCATCCTACGCAGGGCCCAGGGGCTGGCAGGGGTGGGGTGTTCCATCCTACGCAGGGCCCAGGGGCTGGCAGGGGTGGGGTGTTCCATCCTACGCAGGGCCCAGGGGCTGGCAGGGGTGGGGTGTTCCATCCTACGCAGGGCCCAGGGGCTGGCAGGGGTGGGGTGTTCCATCCTACGCAGGGCCCAGGGGCTGGCAGGGGTGGGGTGTTCCATCCTCTGCCCAGGACCCAGGGGCTGGCAGGGGTGGGGTGTTCCATCCCATGCAGAGGTGAGGGGCTGGCAAGGGTGGGCTGCTCCATCTCATGCCGGGCCCAGGGGCTGGCAGGGGTTTGGTGTTCTATCCCATGCAGGGCTGAGGAGTGCAGGGGTGGGCTGTTCCATCCCATGCAGGGGCCGGTAGAGTGGAATGTTCCATCCCATGCATGGCCCAGGTGCTGGCTAAACCTCCTGCCAGTCCTCAGCCTGTGGCCCTGGCCTCAGCAGCGAGTTGGGTGGTTTATCCTGGAGTCCCCGGTACTGGCTCATTGCACAGAGTAGCTCAGCGTGTTCCCGTTCCAGGGCTGACAGGCGGCGCTCCTACAGGGACAAAGGGCTCAGTTACCCCAGCCAGCTGACCCTGCTCCCTTAGCCAGGAGCCCAAAGCTGGCAGCACACACCTCACTGCAAGGAGATCTCATGCCAAAGGCAACTAGCACTATCACCCCCTCCATCCCTGGCATGGTCTGGGGCAGCTCTCCTCATTTCCAGGGCTTCCCTACCATGCTCCACCCAGGAGATCCTGTCCTGAGGGACTCCTCCAACCACTTTTGTGCTGCCTTCTTGGGCACCCTCTGCAGGAGCTGTGACAGGCTGTACTTACCCCACTCAGAGGAGGTGTAGTGGAGTGTCAGGTGGGTCAGAACAGGGGATCTGGGAGTCAGGGCTCCTGGGTTCTATTCCCAGTACTGAGAAGGGCTGATGTGCAGTGCAAGGACTACTTTACCCCTCTAATTTCTGCCATCCCTGCTCAGGGCTCTAGATATTTTCCCATTCTCTGAGCGTAAGTAGGGATCAGCCCTGAGGGTGGAGGACACTGTCTGGCTCATGGTGGCTATAGAAGGAGCTCAGATCCCAGAGATCCTGCTCCTTCCACGTAGGGCCCCCAGATGTCCCCAGTTTTGTTGGTGGCAGGTGCTGGGGGGTACTCACAGGCAGCCTTGGGCCTTGACTCATTGAGGGGAAGAATATGGACATCACACTCCTGGGGATAGCCCCCACCCACCCACAATGAAAGCAGTAGGGCCGCACAGGCTGGAGCTGGGCCCAGTGAGCCCCAGCATCCTCTCTGTTACTCCCTTATGGATCAATGGGGCTGGAACTGCTGGGCTAGGGCAAGGGACCAGATCTTACCAGATGCTTTGCCCTCTCCTCGCTGGCCTTCAGCTTCTCCTGGTCCTTCCTTCGGCCACCCTCCGCTGCCGCCACCCTGTAGGAGGGAGGGTGTCAATGGAGCCTGCAGTTTGCTCTGTCCCACCGAGAGCCCTGCCCTGTGGCACCTCCCACTGCCTCCTTGCACCTCCCTCTGGGCACTTCCCCCTGCTCCTAGAAAACCTCATCCCACCTCACTCCGCATGCCACGGCCCCTGGTTTGGCCAGATCTCCCTGGGCAGTTGGTTCCAGAGCCCGATGTCAGCACATGCCCAGCCCATACTGGCTGTCATTAGAATCAGCCACGACTCAAGCCTGAGCTGCCCCTGGGGACTCACTTGAAGTCCATGCAGAGAGTGCATTGTGCTCTCCTCGCAGCCTGGCTGCCCCACACAGCACATGCCCTGGGCGCCCCTCCATTGGCTCTCTGCTGAGCCAGCACCCAGCATCACCCTGAGGCTCAGCAGTGCCATGGTGCTGCCTTTCTCCCCTATGGGCTCCCTTACCTGGTGCTGAGGTTTGCCAAATGGGCTTCCAGCTCCTCCAGTTGTCTCCGGAATCTCTCCTCCTGCCCCTGGCTCTTGGCCTGCTCCTCCAGCAGGGCCTGGTTCTGAGTGAGCAGCACTTCTAGCTGGCTCTCAAAGAACCTGTGTTTCTCCTTGGCGTCTGCCAGCTCCTTCTTCAGCTCCTCAATTTGCTTCCCGTGCTAGGGGAGCCCAACACAGGTCAGTTTGTCATGGGACATGCAGCACTCCACAGGCACAGAGAGGGCATGACCCCATCACCCGGATTCCTTACCCAGCTGCACAAATGCTGAGAGCCTAGCACAGGCTGGCAGCAGGAAAGAAGCCTCATGGTTAGAGTAGTGGGGGGTTGAAAGTCAGGACTCCTGGGTTCTGTTTGAGGAGCTCTAGGATCCTGGTTTGGGGGCTGTAGGGCTGGAGAAAGGACTCTCTTGCTGTTCCCTTCCAGGCTAATGTGGTGAGGCTGGGGGAGGGAGACCCTGGCACAGCCCTGTAAGGCCTGCTCCGGAGCCTGTATTGCTTGGGGTTTGTTGATTCAGAATGTTACCTTCTCCAGCGGCCGCATGGCGTACAGCTCAGTATGCACCTTGGCTCCTTCCTCAGCATGGCGCTGCCAGGGCACTGTGGATTTCCGTGGCAGCGAAGCAGATTGGCGGAGATTGTATCGGCCCTAGAACACACAGCACACAGTCCTTCAAGGTGCTGCAGGCTCGCAGAGGCCACAGCTCAGGCTGTCAGAGACATCGGGCCAGATGCCTCCTGGTTCCTATTGGGACAGGCTGGAACAGCTGATCATTCATGCTGGAACCCACCACCACACCACCCAAAGGAAAGGTCTCATGGCGTGTGGGGACAATGACAGCTACTGGCCCTGGTGGGGCCTGGCACTGATAGTGCCCCAGGAAGAGCAGCCATTGTGCTCCAGAGAGCAGACTGTTGCTGGTTGGCCACGGTGACAGGGAACACAAGGGGTGAGTGTGTCCAGCTCCATTCCCCCGCCCTCAATCCCCAGTGCGGCCTCTGTGGGAGTTGCACTGGAAAAGGTCACTTTGGGGGGGTCCCATCTCAGCTGGTGTGAGCAGTCTGCATCGGCTGGAGAAGGAGAGAGCAGACGAGGGACAGGATCCCCTTACCTGGTGGGCTGAATTGTATCTTGGGCTGTGCACTCCCAGGGCTGGGGGCTGCTGGGACCCCCTTACCAGATGTTCTCAGCTGTTCCCAGGGTGGGGGCAGCCTGGATCTTCTTACCAGGTGGGTTCAACCATACCTTGGGCCAGGTGTCAGGACCCCCTTACCAGGTAAGCTTGGCCATCCCTGGGGTGGGGGCAGCCTGGACCTTCTTACCGGTTGGGCTCGGCCATCCCGTGAGCGAGAGGCAGAGTTGGAAGAGCTCCCAGTGTGACTCTCCTCTCCCAGGGACTCAGCCACATGCTCCATGCTGCTCTGTTTCTGAAGCCTACGTCCTGCTTTGCTCTGGGCTGGCACGCTCTGGGTGCGCTGCACCTTCCTGCTCTCCCAGGCCTGGCGAGGGGAGGCAGGCAGCTGCTGAAGGTGCCGCTCATCGTCCTTCCCCCGGCCCTTCTGTATGTTGGTCATAGAGTGGCTCTTGATCAGGGGGCTGTGCTTGCTCAGCTCCCTTGGGGGCAGGAATCCTGGCTTCTCACAGTGGCTGAAACACAATGGTCAGGGCTGAGTGTTGCTGGGGAGAGCTAGGAGCACCAGGGGCCACAGTTTCCTCTGGAACCCACAACTATCCCTTCATTCGGAACCTAGAACCAGAACTAGCCTCTGAATCTTAATCCAAACCAGAACCTTCCAGTGAATCAGAACCTAGAGCTAGAACCATCCCTGACCCAGAACTGGAACTATTCCCAAAAGCCCAAACTGAACCAGAATTGCAATAATCACCTGAACTAAAACCATTAATCGCACCCAACCTGGAGTCATCACCAAGACCATTACCCCAAATCATCCAGAACGATCCTAAGCTAGAGCCATCCACTCTACCTACTCAGAACCATTCGTAGCAAGATGAGGGCCTGAAACATAAGCCCACATATCACAGGCCTGGATATGAGGCCTGAGGCCCAAGACTTTCCTAATATAAATCAAAGAGAAGCTGTGAGCAAGAGGCAGGCCCTGCTCACAGAAACGGGCAAGAACAAGGCTGATATTCCAAAAACACGCATACCTAAGAGGTACTAAGCACAGGCCCTAAGCACATTCTAGCGGGGTCGTAACAGAACACTTAATTAAGAAACACGTTAGTACCAACCTCCTTCTCATAAATAACAAGCATTCCAACCCAAGTTCAGGACTGTGTCTAAACTGACAGCATGATAGATAGTAATTGAACCCCCTTTGTACAAGGTAAGGGGTGGTAACTATGCAACAGGAGGTGGCAACCTGATACGCCAGGAGTGATATGTAACTTGTTTGTACCTGTGTGTAAAAGTGTACCTCAAAGAGGTTTCTTTGTCGAGCTGAGGGGACAATAGTGGAATCCATACTATTGACTGAGCTGAGTCCATTGTCAGGGAAAACACATGCATAGTGGAGCAGTGCCCAGTCTGTCCACTGACACCTATTATATTTTGTTTGTCAATAAACCTGCTGGGCACCTTTGATCCTTTTCTGATTTTGTGGTCTTTGGGGGCTTTCTTGGAGTCTGCTGTGTTGACCAATTGCACATGGTCAAGACAGTGAGCAGAGGGACAAACACAGGAACACACACAGCCAAACAGTTATCAATGAAGAAGCACGAGACTTGTCAGGACACCACACCAGTGAACCCGGACTGCTACTCCATTCCCTGAAACCAAACCATCACGTAAACCCAAACCTCAAACTGAACAGAACTATCCCCTGACTCCACCCTGAACCAGAACCACTCTGCAAGTCACAGGTACACCAAATTCAAACCTAGCCTGTCACTAGCCCTTTGAGCAAATCTTTGGACTGGGGCCATCACCTGAATCTTCAATCCACCCCTGGACCACGGTGCACGGAGTACCTGTCCTCCATGCCAGGCCCAAGTCTGATGGAAACGGGCACTGGTGTCCCCTCTTTGATGGCATTGAGGATAGTTGGCAAGGGTTCTAGCTGCTCCCTTGTTCGCTGCAGGGAAACACAAATGGAAAAGATTAATTGCTGAGGGTTTCTCAACAGCTGTGTCCCCAAGTTTCATGTGAGACAAACTCAGCTTGGTTCCGACAGCTCTGCTAGGGGAGCTTTGCTCAATGCAGCTCTGACCAGCATGGCCAGAAAGTGACACCGAGCTGGGATCAGCCAGGGAGCAATGCCCAGCTGGGACTGGCTCAGCACTACTCTGACTGGCAGAGCCGGGGGTAATGCCCAGCTAGGTTTAGCTTCACTTAGCTTCTATTGCTATAGTTTGGGATTGGAGGCTCTACATGCCCCAGAGAGAGGGAATACAACAGGTAATCAAAACATGACCCCTCTCCTGTCACTCATTTCCAGGCAAAGAGAAGCTAGGGACATGATTCCTACTCATCTTGGCTAATAGCCATTAATGGACCTAACCTCCATGAATTTATCTAGCTCTTTTTTGAACCCTGTTAAAGTCCTAGTCCTCACAACATCCTGTGGCAAGGAGTGCCACAGATTGACTGCGCACTATGTGAAGAAAAACTTCCTTTTGCTTGCTTTAAACCTGCTGCCTATTAATTTTGTGTAGGTCTTATATTATGGGAAAAAGTAAATAACTTTTCCTTATTCACGTTTTCCACACCTTTTCATGATTTTATAGACCTCTATCATATCCCCCCTTAGTTGCCTCTTTTCTAAGCTGAAAAGTCCAAGTCTTTTTAATCTCTCTTCATATGGGACCCGTTCCAACCCCCTAATCATTTTTGTTGCCCTTTTCTGAACCTTTTCCAATGCCAATATATCTTTTTTGAGATGAGGCAACCACATCTGTAGGCAGTGTTCAAGATGTGGGAATACCATGGTTTTATATAGAGGCAATAAGATATTCTTTGTCTTATTCTCTATCCCTTTTTAAATTATTCCTAACATTCAGTTTGCTTTTTTGACTGCTGCTGCACACACTTGATGCCTATGGAAATGAAAATGATGGTCATGAAGTCTGGGAATGAAAGCCGATCACCAGAAGATGACAGACTTTGGACAGGCTTTTCTCCAGCAGAGGAAACTGATGCTTATCTCCCTGACCGGTCACACATGTGTTGCATCTGTTTGCACACTGAACCAAATGCTAACCAAGAGATTGCAAACTTGAGGCAAGAGGAAAGCCAGAGAAGATGCAATCAGCAGAGGTGCTCTGTTTAGGAATAAGGATAAAGGTACTGTGGCAAGGGCCCCTCTGCCCCAAGCCACCACTGGGTAGGCCTCCTCCCCTTAGCCCCCCCAAGTTAGGGGTTTTGCAGCGGGTCTCAATGGTCCACGGGCTCTCTCCTTAGCTGCCTTTACCTAATGCTGGTCAAAATTGTTCTCTCCAGTTTCTTCCTCTCTGCCTCTCCACCACCTTCCTTTCATCCTTTCCCTCCCCTCCCCAGCCTCCAACTGCTGAGGCTTTTAAAGGCCTTTAGACAGACAGCAAAGTCAGCTGGCCCCAATTAGCCCGTGTCAAAGTCAGACAGGACTCACAGATTTGTCAGACTGCTCTGTTTATTAGCAAAGCTGCTCTGCTAAATGCACCCAGAAAATGTGAGTACCATGCAAGGCTCAAACCCCTTAGATTTATACAGTCAAAAGAAAGCCAACTTAACAAGATTAAAAGGTGGCAAAACTTCACATGTTTAGTATGAGACTAGTCAAGTATCTTCATTTCCACATCAAGCACACAGCAATCTCCTGTCCATATCTCCCTGGTTATCTCAATTACTTTCTGCATAACATGGTTACGTCTAGACTACATCCCTTTTTCGTAAAAGGGATGTAAATTAGACGTATCACAATTGCTAATGAAGCGGGGATTTAAATCGCCCCTGCTTCATTAGCATAAAAATGGCTGCCGCTTTTTCTCAGCGCGGAGCTTTGCCGGAAAAAAACGCCAGTCTAAACGCTGATCTTGCGGAAAAATAAAGCCTCTGGGATAAGGAATCTTTCGGAAAAGGCTTTATTTTCCGCAAGATCAGCGTCTAGACTTGCACTTTTTTCTGGCAAAGCTCCGTGCCGAAAAAAGCGGCAGCCATTTTTATGCTAATGAAGCAGGGGCGATTTAAATCCCCGCTTCATTAGCAATTGTGATACGTCTAATTTACATCCCTTTTACGAAAAAGGAATGTAGCCAAACGTAGCCCTAATGTTTCCTTTTCCTGTTACCCCAGGTATACCTGGCTAGCACTCTGATCTGCATACCTACAAACAACATTAACATACTTTTCTCCTTTCTGTTCAGAGACAAACAGGATTCCTTCAACTTATTCAATTAGAGCATAATTCATCTTTCTCTTACAATATAATTCTTTCTACTTTCACACCTCAGCCAGCTCCCTCCCAGCTGCATCTAATTGGGCTGCAGTTCTCTGCTTCTCTCACAGGTTTTTCCCTTTTAGGCTGCACTTTTCCCCTCACCTTTTTATTTACGCACACCCAATCCGTGGTCCCACAAAGTCGCGAGACCTCCTCGTCAACCTCCTCCTGGCCTTAGTGAAAGCTGCCATCTATAATAGCAGGAGGAGGAAGTTAGACGAGGGGTTCTCTGTGACTGTGGGGCCTATTTTCGCTCTTCCCTCGTGTCACGAATCCGGGCAGAGTTCCTCTGGGCGGCGTCCACTGGCTCCAACGACAGCTTTGAGGAGCGGTGGGCGCTGTCCAGGGTTCTCTGCTCGGTGTTCCCATCCGGCTCCCTTATTTTAAACCTGTGACCCGCACTCCTTGACCCTGTTGTCATTTTTTGTCCCCCGGATTCAGTTGAACATGGGTTCAGTGTCCCTCCCATAAGGTTGGGGAGGGGCTTTTAGAATGTGGGCGGGCTGTGCCCGCCCACCTTCCCATGATTTCAAATAGGCCCTCTCTGCAGCAGCTCCCTGGCCTGACTCTGTCACAGTACCAAGAAATGTCCTTGATCCTTCACTGAGGTAGCAACATGATTTGTTTCTTGAAAAAAGGTTGCTGCTAGCCTGGCTGTCAAGCTCTAGTGAGCAATACTTGATTAGCCAGGAAAGCACCTTGCTAGCTACAGGTAGGCTCTAGAATACTAATATTCTGCTAATAAAGTTTGCGGATGACACGAAGTTGGGAGCTATTGCCAATACAGTAAAGGATCGGGATATCCTACAGGAAGATCTGGATGATCTTGTAAACTGGAGTAATAGAAACAGGATGAAATTTAATAGTGAGAAGTGTAAGGTTATACACTTAGGGATTAATAACAAGAATTTTAGTTATAAGCTGGGGACACATCAGTTGGAAGTGATGCAAGAGGAGAAGGATCTCGGAGTCCTGGTTGATCACAGGATGACTATGAGCCGCCAATGTGACATGGCCATGAAAAGGCTAATACGGTCTTGGGATGCATTAGGCGAGGTATTTCCAGTAGAGATAAGGAGGTGTTAGTGCCGTTATACAGGGCATTGGTGAGACCTCATTTGGAATACTGTGTGCAGTTCTGGTCTCCCATGTTTAAGAAGGATGCATTCAAACTGGAACAGGTACAAAGAAGGGCCACTAGGATGATCTGAGGAATGGAAAACCTGTCTTATGAAAGGAGACTCAAGGAGCTTGGCTTGTTCACCTTAACCAAAAGAAGGCGGAGGGGAGACATGATTGTTCTCTTTAAATATATTAGAGGGATAAATACCAGAGAGGGAGAGGAATTATTTAAGCTTAATACCAATGTGGACTCAAGAACAAATGGATATAAACTGGCTATCAGGAAGTTTAAACTCGAAATTAGACAAAGGTTTCTAACCATTAGAGGAGTGAAGTTTTGGAGCAGCCTTCCAAGGGAAGTAGTGGGGGCAAAAGACCTATCTGGCTTCAAGATTAAGCTAAATGGCTTTATGAAGGGGATGGTTTGATGGGATAACATGATCTTGGCAACTAAGTGACCTTCCACTATCGGTGGTAAATAGGCCAATGGTGGGATGATAGGAGTTACTATAGAGAATTTTTTCCTGGGTGTCTGGCTGGTGAGTCTTTCCCACATGCTCAGGGTTCAGCTGATCGCCATATTTGGGGTCGGGAAGGAATTTTCCTCCAGGGTAGATTGGCTGAGGCCCTGGAGGTTTTTTGCCTTCCTCTGTAGCATGGGGCATGGGTCACTTGCTGGAGGATTCTCTGCATCTTGGGGTCTTCAAACCATCATTTGAGGACTTCAATATCTGAGATAGGTGAGAGGATTATTCCAGGAGTGGGTGGGTGAGATTCTGTGGCCTGTATTGTGCAGAGGATCAGACTAGATGATCATAATAGTCTCTTCTGACCTCAAAGTTTGAGTCTATAATACATGTTATGATTTTATTTGATATGAAGCTATTAGTTTCCTTGCTATTACTCAAATCTCTGCTTTGCTAAGCGCTCCTGTTGTGGATTTCACTCTAGACATATCTGTGTGTTGTGTGGTAAGCAGGGCATGCATCTGAGGTGGAACTAGCAAGCAGGGGTGGACTGTTCTTTTGGAAACAGAAAATCTGCAAATACTGAGGAGTCTATTGGACCAGGGGTTGGACACCTTCAGTGGACTTGGGGGGCTGAGGTGTGCCAATCGCTAACCTGCAGAGACAGCAGGATCTGCAGAGGCCTAGAGGGTAGTGTTTGTGTTAAACAGAGTTGAGAAGCTGAGCCAGGCAGGTACAGATAAAGCTTCCTTATGCTGAGTGCATGGTAGCAAGATGCCACCCAACCCTGGGTACCACTGAAAAGGGTCCAGCTCAGCACAGCTCCCACCAGCACATGCTGGTTCTGGCTCAGTGTGGTTCCAACTGGAACAGCCATGGGGAGATAGTTCCCAACTCAGATCGACCCAGCATGCACATGAGATCCTGCCATCTCAGCTGATGGAGCTGCTGGCTCTTGAGGGTACTAACCAGTTTCAGACATAGACAGTAACATTTGCTGCTAGCTGTGGACTCTGACCTGGATAAGCCCATACTAACTCTGGTCACTAGGGGGCAGATGTGCTCTGTCAATACATTCCCATTCCATGCAGTGAGTACCTGGTCCACGCTGGTGAAAATGTCACAGAGCAGTGAGTGCAGGGTAGAGAGCTCTAGCGCCAGGTCCACATAGCCATCATAGGCCACCAGATGGGCACTGCTGTCAGGATTAGCCACGCTCTGCAGGAATGACTTCATATGACTCCAGTTGTGCTCCAGGAATTCGTTCATGAACCCCATGTATGCCTCCTTCTCACCAAATCTGCAGAAGCCAAAGTGCCATATGAATGTCACGCACATGGGACAGGCGCCATACACATGGCACAGGCATTACATATACAGCGCAGGCGTCATGCACTCGCTGGGACCAGGCAAGTGTCATGTACGTGGCACTGGAGTCACACACACGGCATGGGTCTCACACACAATGTGGGCTGATGGATACAGTGGTGCTGATGGGTATCACACACACACACAACATGGGTGTCACACACAGCGCTGGTGTCACACATGACATGGGCATCATGTACATGGTGGGACAAAGCAGGTGTCATGTACATTGCATAGGCAATAAGCACACGAAGTGGGTGTCACACATATACTGGAATCAGGCAGGTGTCATGTACATAGCACTGGGATCAAACATATGGCACAGTAGTGCTGCCGGGAATCACACACATGGCACAAGCTTTACACACACACAGCACAAGCATCACAGACACAGTGGTGCTGTGCAGGTATCACACATGGGCTACGTCTAGACTGGCATGATTTTCCGCAAATGCTTTTAACGGAAAAGTTTTTCCATTAAAAGCATTTGCTGAAAAGAGCGTCTAGATTGGCACGGACGCTTTTCCGCAAAAGCACTTTTTGCAGAAAAGCGTCCATGCCAATCTAGATGCGGTTTTGCGCAAAAAAGCCCCGATCACCATTTTCGCGATCGGGGCTTTTTTGTGCAAAACAATACTGCATTGTCTACACTGGCCCTCTTGCGCAAAAGCATTTGCACAAGAGGGCTTTTGCCCGCATGGGAGCAGCATAGCATTTCCGCAAGAACACTGACAATCTTACATGAGACCATCAGTGTTCTTGCAGAAATTCAAGTGGCCAGTGTAGACAGCTGGCCAGTTGCTTTTGCGGAAAAACTTGCCAGTCTAGACTCAGCCATGCAGTGTGTCCACATGGGCACATGGGGGGGGGGAAGCAAATTCTACACCTCCAGGCATTTGAGCTCTAGGCGTCAGGATCAGGTGAGCAGTCCATCGGTAGGGGAAGGCATGCAGAAGGCGGGGGATTGTCCAGCATTACTGGACATGTCAATGCTGCAGCCTTGGTGCTGCTCTGCCTGATGGAGGAGCCCCAGATTCAGATAATCACATTGCCAGAGTGCTATTGCACATGGCATCAGAGCTTCATCTCCCTGTCCTCTGCTCAGGGTCTCTGTCTGGCTGCTGGGTGAATGATCCACACAAACCACAGAGGAAAGTGACAAGCTGACTCTGCATGGAAAACTGAGCCCACCCCACATGCTGCCAAGCTGACAGGCACTGTTGTGTCTAGCAGCACTTGGGCTCATAGGCTATGAGGTTCCATAGCCGAGGAGCTGCTAGTAGCTGAAGAATGGTCCTGATATTAGGACATTACCCTGGGAGTTGGGAATCTTGGGATCAAGGCCCTGGGCTGACATAGAGTTGTTGTGTATCCAAGTCACTCTGTGTCTGCCCAGTGGGGGTGTGGGAGGAGAAGGCACTGGTGCTCAGGTACCACAATAATGGGAGGAAAAGAGAGGGAGGAGTTACACAGCACTGGCCTTCTGGAGTGCACAGGCATTGTGGTGACCTGCTCAGGAAACCAAGGATCCCTACATGGCCTGGGCTAGGTTAGGACACTGGAAAGGTGTTTAATGGCCTTTGGCAGATGGCTGGATGCTGGTACCATGGACCGCAGGGCCAGAGCTCAGCAGCACAACTCCAAAGCCTAAGGAATGGAGATGGGGGCTGGAGGTTCAATGAAGCCTAGGAAGGCACCCCGTGATACAGAAGGGAGCCCCCCTGCGCAGGGGCAGGGCAATGGGCAGAGCCGAGCCGTGATACAGACAGGATCTCCTCCCCAGGGGGACAGGCCTTGGGCAGAGCCGAGCCATGGTACATACGTGGCAAAATTGGCCAGGTTCTGAATGACCTTTGCCACCAGGGTGAGGCTGCGGGAGGTGGCTTCATCTGGGTACTCCTGGGTGAGGCCAAACAGGCTAGGAGACATGACGGCTGGGCACAGGAAACGCAGGAAGAGTGAAGCTGAGATGAGCCGCTGCCCGATGTCCTCCTTGTCCCGCTCCATGCACTCCCCCTGCCACGCGGCAAAGATCTCGCTGAGCTCTGCTGGGAATGCACTGAAGGGACAGATACAGGCAGTGATGGGGAGGGGGAAGGTGCCAGCTAGACACCAGCATCTCTCAGACAATCCCTGGCAGCCAGTGGAACCAGAGCCCCTTGTGGTGCCTCCCTGAGAAGCAGCCTGGGAATGAGGGGTTAACTCAGGGGTGGGCACAGGGGCCTCCGCAGGCCGGATCCCACGCACCAAGTGGGTTGATCAAGCTTGTGGCCACCCTGCTGCTCCCTCGCCCCCAGGCCAGTCGAGACCTGGGGATGGGGGAGAATGTGAAGTTCTGTGTGCCCCTGGCAGGGTGGGGAGGGGTGGGGGAGCCAAAGATTATGTTCGCTCTTCTGCCCCCAGACCCTTCACCAGCAGCTTGGAGGTGTGGCACCGTAAGGGGAGGGAAGGGGAGGTACCTTCCAAACTACGGGGAAAGTCTCCCTGCCCTCCCCCCCCCGTGATGCTGCTGCCCCTTCCTTCCT